ATATTTATATCCATATTTATATTTATATTTATCTTTATATTTATCTTTATCTTTATGTTTATATTTGTATTTGTAATTATGTTTATATTTATTCTTATATTTGTATTTATATTTATTCTTATATTTGTATTTATATTTATTTATATTTGTTTATTGCTAAGGAGCAGCTCGAGGAGTTGGAGGCGGAGCGCGGTTTGGTGTTTAGTTTGCGTGAAAAATTAACAACAGCAAACAAACAAATAAAAGAAATAAAATTAAACGAAGAAAAAAGAATACAAACTTTAGAAGAGAAAGTCAGGCAGGCGATCCAAGCAAAAGACAAACAAATTCTTTCTTTAAAAGATCTACTCGCTGCAAGCAAAACAAAAGTAATAAACAAAACACACAACAACCACACCTAAATGCATTAATTCAATATACAAATAAAATAAATAAATATATAAACAAATAAATAAATATAAATATATATAATATACTATATATATTAACTCCAAACGATTAAAATATTCGTTTATACTCGTCTTTAGCAGTGTTATAATAAATGTTTTATAATATTAATAGAAATAAGAATATATTTGTATATATAACAATAATAATCTAGCGGAAATCATAATAAAGCAAATGTAATAAAGAAAATTATTATAATTATTAAATTAAATTATTAAACTACAGTTATTAAATTAAAATTATTAAATTATAATAAAGCTTTTTTAATATTTGTTGTATTATAATTTCTGCTAAATTACCTCCATTATCTTCAACCCTTTGAATATTGAATCCGTTTTTAATAATAAGTATTTAATGATAATATTTTTAATTATATTTATTGTAGGAGAGGTAATACTTTGCTTCTTATCGCTTGTTTTTAAATAAGTGTTTAATAGTAATTGCTTATTCTGTATTTGTTTTATTGTAATTGCATCATATTACACTGCATTGTTTGTTTAATAATAAATGCTTTAATTTACTTTGCGAATCTGTCTTACTGACTAACTGAATGTTTGTTTTTTGTCTTTGTTTGCTTTTTAATGTATTATTTTGCTATTAACACCAATAGTTATAAGCTATTATCATTGTTTATTTTTATTCATTATAATTGTTGTTATTAATTATTAGATATTGCTATTGCTATTACAAGATATTAATATTATTTAATATTATTACTATAATATTATTTATTTTTTTTATGTTTATGCAGGCTGAACATCTGCGTAGTTTAATATTAAGACGGCGTTGCAACGACTTATGGGCGTACTCCTCTTTACCTGAAGATAAAGATAATTCTTCTTCTTCCTCTTCTGCTGCTGCTGCTGCTGCTGCTGCTCCTCATGCTGCTGCTGCTGCTGATAATTCTTCTTCTTCCTCTTCTGCTGCTGCTGCTGCTGCTGCTGCTCCTCATGCTGCTGCTGCTGCTGCTGCTGCTGCTGGTGATAGTTGCATGTCTCCATCTACTGGTGTTTCTTCTCTTTCTTCTTTTTCTTCTTTACCTTGTGCAATTTCTTCTTCTCTTTCTCCTCTCGCAGCAGCGAAAACAAACGAAGACAAAATTAAAAACGATAAAAACAAAAACACAAAAAATTTATTAAAGACAAACCCAAGAAAAACAACGACACCGCAGAAAACAAATAGAATGCAAATGAACGCGCGATAATTCTTTTTTATTCTTTTTAAACTCATTTTTATTTTTCAATTGTTTTTTAATTGTTTTTTTTTGCATTTACCCCATATACACTCCAAGCAGTTGCTGGCGTTAATGAAGGTAGATTCTTTTATCTTCTTTTCTTTCTCTATATTGCAAATAGTATTTGTGTTGAGGTTTAAATAAACAATTAACTGCTTTTCAGTGAATATGTCGCTGTTTTCTTATTATTTAATTAGACAGCAAATTGCCTTTCTATTGCTTACTTAAACAATTAATTTTATTATTATTATTATTATTATTATTATTATTATTATTATCACTCCCACTGTTATTACTATCTTTACTATTATTATTGTTATTGTTATTATTATTGTTATTATTATTATTTACCTCTTATTAGCATTTGTGTCTTCATTTTTAATTCGTTTTATTTCATGCAAACAAAACGCAGAGGGCTTTTAGTGAAGTCGACAGAAAAAAGTTTTACGTTTAAACGACAGAGACAAACGAAGTACTGCCTGATATATATAATATGAATATAATAATAATAATAATAATATAATACTGATAATAATAATAATAGTAATAATAATAACAATGAAAATAACAATAATCATAAAAATAATTCTGATGATAACAATATCAATAATAATAATAATAATTGTTATTATTATTATTACTAATATTATACCGGTATACTGCCGACCGAAGCTTTGTTTGTTTAATTGCTGTTTTTTATGTTCTACATAAATGCGTGTATTCAAAGCTAGCTCTCTATACACCTAAAAGTAGAAGGGAGATATATAATAATAAATACTGCTACTACTTTAAGAATAAACAATAAAACAACAAAACAACAAACCTAAAAAACAAAATAACAAATAATAGGCCACGCAAACACCAACAAAGAGATAAACAAAACAAAAAACAAATAAACACATAAATAAACACATAAATAAACAAATAAATATGAATAACAGACAAACAAACGAACAAAACAAACAAACAAGTAGGTAAAAAGCCCGACAAACAAACAGAACAAAAAAAGAAGTAAAAAAGAAGAGTTGTTTATTTTAAATTTCTTCTTTGAGTTTACCCCAGTTGCTGCCTGTCTTAATAACGACGTGCAGCGAAACATTTAATTTAATTGCGTTTTCCATCTCCTTTTTTAGCAAATTCTTTATTAACTCCTTTTCACTCAAAAGACACTCAACAACCAACTCGTCGTGCATAGACAGCAGCAAACGGGCCTTGCTGCTGCTGTTGCTGCTGCTGCTGTTGCTGCTGCTGTTGCTGCTGTTGCAGGTGCTGAAGCAAAGGTACACACACAAGAGGCAGCAGCAGCAGGAGTCGTAGCAGCAGCAGCAGTAGTAGTAGTAGTAGCAGCAGCACGAGTTATTTAGAGCGTAAATGCTTTTAAAAGATTGTCTGTAAACTATTTGTTTTATTATTTTTTTGTTTTTTGTTTATTCTTCACTTTGCCTTAAATGCAAATCCATTCAAAATCAAAATGCAATAAAAGACAGAAAAGAATTAAATAAAAACAAAAGTATATTCAAATTAAGATATTTATTTATCCAGGCTTTAATGTAGGGTCTTTGTATATAAACAAACGAAAAAAAGAAATGCTTCTGCTTCTGTTTGTTCTTAATTTATCATTCACTTGCATGAACTCCCCTTCTTACATTTCGTTCCCCAAACCCCAAACCCTAAACCCTAAACCCTAAACCCTAAACCCTAAACCCTAAACCCTAAACCCTAAACCCTACCCACCAAACCCCAGATCCTAAACCCTAAACACTAAACGCTGAACCGCAGGCAAAGGCCTCTAAACCCTAAACCCTAAACCCTAAACCCTAACTTGCCTGGTTTGTAGGGCGCGCTGTACATTAAGCATCGCTCTTTTAATTATGTCGCTGGCGCTCCCTTGAATTTTGTAATTGACTGCCTGCCGCTGAATTGCTGAGCTGTCTGTACACTCCAAATTTATGGTGCGACGCCGACCTGAAAACCAAACCCTAAACCCTAAACCCTAAACCCTCGAGTGCACTGTTCACCACCGAACGTCATACCCTCACACCTCAAGCTTCAGCTTTGTACACCCAAACAACTAAACCCCAAATCCTAAGCCCTAAACCCTAAACCCTAAACCCTAAACCCTAATGAAGGACCTGTGATGGTGGTGACTGCTCCTGTTGATTGGATTTCTTTTTTGGTTTGTTCGACGAATTTTGAAATTTCGGGGAATTGTTTGTCGAATTTGGATTTAATTTGTTTTGCTTTTTCAACCGAAACGCCAAATCGCTGCATCACTGGGTATACACCGCCGCCGTATAACAGAGATAAACATACAGTCTTCGTCTGCAAAACAAATAAATAAATAAATAAATAAATATATACATAAATAAATAAATAAATAAATAATTGACTAGCTAATTAGTTGGTTCTTTTGTTAATTCTTTATATTCAATAAACAAAACAACGAACAGGCAATTAAAATAAAGCACCTAACAAACAAACAAACAAACAAACAAACAAATAAACAAACAAACAAACAAACAAACAAACGAATTAAACAAACAATCGAATTAAACAAACAAACAAACAATCAAACAAACAAACAAGCAAACAAACAAACAAACAAACAAAACAAACAAATAAATAAAGAAACAAACAAACAAACAAACAAACAAACAAACAAACAAATAAATAAACAAACAAAACAATACATTGTCTCGATGTTGCGGTGAAACCTCTGGGCTTGGAATCCCCCAAAAGATGGCGGCGATTTCCGTGTAAATGTCGCGACCCCCATTTTTGATGAAATCCACCAAATACCCACTGCCGCAGTAGTGAGCCTGCAATGCAAACCCTAAACCCTAAACCCTAAACCCTAAACCCTCGTTGTCCTAAGCCATCGTTTTCCAGAACACTCGAAACCCTTAACACTCGTAACCTTAAATACTCGTAAACCTAAACCCTAAACCCTAAACCCTAACCCGTAAGCCCTAAAACATAAACACTAAAAGACAAAACAAATATTGAACAATACACCCTATACCCTACCCTAAACTCTGAACCCTAAAACCCTAAACAATAAACCCTAAACCCTTAGCCTTGAGCCGTGGAGCTCCAAAGACAGACAGCGAAGAGCAACACCCACGAGCAATACTATCTTGTAACAAAACCCTAAGCCCTAAACCCCAAACCCTAAACCCTGACCCCTGTACGGACCAGCACCCTCATTTCGATTTGTGCGAAGTCAGCAGATATAAGGATTTGTTTGTCTTGCAGAGAGGGTTTAAATGCCTCCCTGCAGTTTAGGAGAAGCTGCGTATCTTCATTTGAGCTGTCTGTACACCTCAGTGGTATTGAAACCTCTTTGGGTATTGTCTGCATGTTGCAGTTAGAAGAAGACAAACGCCCCGTCACTGTGCGCGTCTGGTTCCAGCGACAACACACCCTAAACACAACATTAAACCCTAAACCCTAAACCCTAAACCCTAACCACTACACTATACCC